CCCCCCCCCCCCCCCCCCCCCCCCCCCCCCCCCCCCGCCGTGTGAGGGAGGCCCTCTTGGACGGCCCGCCGAAAAATTCGATGGTCATTGCATTCGCCTCGCACATATATATCAACACCACCACTGACCCAGACACTCATTCCCCTCCCCTCCCCATTACGTTACGTCTGCGTACGGTTGAGTCACGAGAAACCGCAAAAACGCCAAACGCATCCATCAAGAAGTCGGCCACACAGGCAAGCAGACAGGCAGACAGGCAGACAGGCAGACAGGCAGACAGGCAGACAGGCAGACAGGCAGACAGGCAGATATCCAGGCATTCGTCCGTCGCGACGAACGTCACAAGTGTCGCGCGGAGTCAAAAACTCGACATCCACCTCGAGCAGCACACACACAGCACACGTAATGAACGAACGAAAAGCAACGACGAACCACAAAGAAGAAAAGACAGCGAGTGCGTCTACGCGGCGCCCATCTGCTGCTGGTGCGAGGTGGGGCCTTCGTCAGCGGCGATGGTAGCCTCTGTGACGCCTGGGTATTTCTTCTGGTAGTCCTCGATGGCGTGGCGCACGGCGTCCTCAGCCAGCAGCGAGCAGTGGATCTTCACCGGAGGCAACTTCAGGTAGTCTGCACACACACACACACACCGACGCTCAGACATTGCACGTCGGCGAAGCCAAGCATCCCGTACTTACCTGCGATGTCGGTGTTTTTGAGTTGCATGGCCTCTTCGGGCGTCTTGCCCTTGATGAGCTCCGTCGCATACGAACTGCTCGCTATCGCCGAACCGCAACCAAACGTCTGGGGGGATGACAAGCAGTCAAACAACACAGACACACACACACATCAGTATGAGTGTCTATCTCCCTGCGGCTCAGACCCACTCACCTTGAACTTAGCGTCCTTGATGACGCCCTCCTCAATCTTGACCTGCAGCTTGATCACATCCCCACACGCAGCTTTGCCCACGATGGCAGTCCTGCAACACAACACGACATACCGAGAGAGAGACATCAACACAGCACAACCACACGCCTCTCTCGCGCGACAGGACATCCCCAGAGCCCCCCTCCCCTCTCTCTCTGTGCCCATCCCATCCCATCAGCTCACCCCACGTGTTCCTCCCCCTTCTTGAAGCTCCCGACGTTCCGGGGGTGCTGGAAGTGCTCATGCACATTCTCGCTGTACCGACGCACCGCACCGGCCATGGCGCTCACGCCCGCCAGGCAGGCGGGAGGCCGCAACGCGCTGGTCGCGGCGCGACTCAACGCACAGAAGCTGCTCTGCAGGGACATCGGGTGTACACACGCGTCTGGCGCTCCAGAAAGGTTCCCACAGGCTATCAGCACTCAGGAGTTATGAGGGCCTAAGTCGGCGTGAAAACAAAAGTCGGCAATCATTAGCTCGCATTTCGCTGGCTTTCGCTTTCCTTTTGCCTCCTTCTCCCCCCGCGCACTTCAGCCTCGCCCGTCTGTCGTCTGTGTCTGCTTGTCTGTCGCATGAAGTTTTCCGCCTCTTTTCTCATCTTGCTGCTGGCATCTGTGTGCCTCACGCAAGCCATCAACCTGCGACCCTCTAGCATCACAGACGCATCGGCCATCCCTCACACGCACATCAGCGGAGGCGGCATCCTCGGCAGGCGGCCTGCAGCACCGGCAGTCATGGACACATCCGGCATCGAGCAGGGCGGGCAACAAGGAGGGCTGCTCACCCCAGCCAAGCTAACGCGTCCGCAGGAGTGGCTCGACAGTGTGGATGTCATCATCTTTGACTGCGATGGGGTCATATGGCGGGGCGACAGTGTGATCCCTGGGGTGCCCGAGACCCTCGAGAGGCTGCGTGCGTTGGGCAAGAAGGTGTTCTTTGTGACCAACAACTCGACCAAGAGCCGGAAGGGGTACAAGAAGAAGTTCGACAGCCTGGGCCTGGACGTCAAGCCGGAGGAGATCTTCTCGTCGAGCTTTGCCGCGGCGGCCTACCTGGAGCAGAAGAAGTTCAAGGAGACGGGCAAGAAGGTCTATGTTATCGGCGAAGTTGGTACGTACGTTTGCAGACGATGGTGTGCATGGCTTGGTATGGATGTTTGGATGTGCGTGTGTGGTGTGGATGTCTGCCTTGTCAGGGATTGAGGAAGAGCTCGATCTGATTGGCGTCCCTTGGGTGGGAGGCACCAAAGGTCAGCCAGCAACGCACATAGACAGCCAGACAGACAGACAGACGGACAGACAGACAGATACACAGACAGACGGACAGACAGACACACACAGAGAGGGAGGGGAGAGAGAAGAAACAACGGCAGTGCAGTGTTTGACGGTGTGTGTGTGTGTGTGTGTGTGCGTGTGTGAATGCATCGCATCATCCCATCCACCTCTGTAGATGCGGGCAAAGTGGTCGAGCTGAAGCCGGGCTACGCCATGCCCGTCGACGAGGATGTTGGTGCGGTGGTGGTCGGCTTCGACCGACACTTCAACTACCACAAGATTCAGTACGCACAGCTCTGCATCGCAGAGCTCGGCGCTGAGTTCATCGCCACCAACCTCGACGCCGTCACACACCTCACTGACGCACAGGCAAGCACCCTCTCCCTCCCCTCTGACACTCTCTTCATCTCGCCTCTCTCTCTCTCTCTCGCTGCGTGTGTGGCTTCTTTGTCTCTCGGTCAGGAGTGGGCGGGAAACGGTTCAATGGTTGGAGCGATCAAGGGCTGCACCAAGCGAGAGCCCACAGTGGTGGGCAAGCCGTCGGCCCTGATGATCGACTACCTGGCTGAGAAGCTGGGTGTGCCGCGGCAGCGGATGGCCATGGTGGGCGACCGGCTCGACACCGACATTTTGTTCGGCCAGAGGAACGGCCTCAAGTCGCTGCTGACGCTGAGCGGCGTGACGACGCTCGACAAGGTCAACAGCCCGCAGAACAGCATTCGGCCGGAGCACTATGTCGACTCGATTGCGGATTTCTTCCCACAGTCTACTGCATGATTGATGTGATGTGATGTGATGCGATGCGATCTTGTCGATGTGTCGGCGTGAACTTTCATCCTGCTGCCTTCCACAGTGGTCGACACGACACGCACTGCGTTGTGTTGGCGACTCGGGAAGGCTGCATGAAGGTGTTTCACGCAACGACGCATAGATTCCTGTGTATATCCATCAGTTTTGCGTCAGTGCTTCCCTAGCTATCTGTGATGAGAGTCGGTTGCTCGGCTTTCTGGGACGAGAGGTGTCTGTCTGCATGTCTATCTGTCTGTCCGTGTGTGCGCCTGCCAACTTTATGGCTCGTCAGGTGAGTGAGGTGGGGTGGGGTGAGTGCGCTACATGCTCATGGACATACGTACACATTCATTCATGGCGATTTTTGTCCCACTGCCTGCGTTGATTGACATTGTGATCCTAAAAGGACCCAGCTGCATGTGTGTACGTGATTTGTATGGGTGGCGTGTACTCTTTCTGGACGGACGGGCTTTCTGTTTTCCTCCCTCATCGAATCGACATGGGAAACGGAATGGATGGAGGGATGGACGCTGAATGTGTTCGTTGTGTGTCTGGAGGGACGGACATATGAATGAAGCACTGATGCGAATGGATGACGCACGTCCGTCTGCAAAACTACACACAAGTCAGACACGCACGCCACGCACGCGCACACACACATACATGCGTAAGATCTGTACAGCAACCAAAAGCGGCCGACTTGACTGACACGCAAAAGAGCTACCTAACCAACAGCCACCAAATATCGCCCCTCTCTCCGCTACTGTGTCTGTCGTGACCATCACCCCCCCTCCCCACCGCCCGCCCCGCTGCGCCTAGCCGTGGGGCTGTTCCTCGGGCTCTCACCCAGAGCTGCCTCAAGCAACATGGCCAGAGAGCTGCCGTGCGTCTTGTCGGACCAGCCCAGGACCTGCTGCACACGGCAGCGGTCGATGTCGTCGTGAGAGATGAGCTGCCGGAAGGGTGTGCGGCATGATGGGCAGGAGGGCTCGTCGGGGAACCGATCGGCCCGACAGGAGGGGGACGGACACATCAGACGGTCCAGGATCTTGTCTATTGGACATGGACATGACACACACAGGAGCGGCAGGCACCAGAGGGCGTGTGTGTGTATGTTGTTGCGTGTGCCTGCCTGCCTGCCTGCCTGCCTGCCTGCCAACACCTCGACCTACCGAGGTATCCGTCGTCTTCTAGGTCTTGCAGCACTCGGTCGTCGCCGATGCTCACGCCGTCCAACAAGACCTGCGGAATCAAAACTACACACATCACATCACACAGAGGGATTGACAGCCCAATCACGTTTCTTTCGCCATCCATCCATCGGCCATCGATATTGGCTCACTTTGTTCCGCGCTGGTTGTTGGTATGGTGATGGCGTCTGCGGCACCGTTGGCGGCAGACGCTGCTGCTGCAGTGGCGGGGCTGTCGTCCTGTGGTGGGCTGTCTGAGGGTGCGATCGAGTGTGTGTCCTCCATCAGCAGGCCCTCTCTCCTCCACTGACGCACATACGCACTGTCCTTGTAGGGCCATGATGCTGCACCAAAGACAAAGAGAGAGAGAGAGAGAGCGAGGCCATGAAAAGCGGACACATCACACGGATGGATGGCTGTGCATGTGCATGTTTGTTTGTCTGGTTACCGTCTGACTGCGTGCCATCTCTGTTGACGTCGATGAGTGTGTAGTCGGCCTGTTTGCAGTCCAGAAGGTGCTGCGCCTTCCGGCTGCGCCAACACTGACGCCGAATGCTGCCCAAAGACGTGATGATCAACACCACCTGCACCACCGGTACACACACACAGCACAGCCGAAGTGAATGACAGACAAACAGACACACAGACGGACAGACACACATCTCTCTGTTGTATAGGACATTGTTCAGGCTGAGGCGCACCTCTGCTCTCTCTGCAGGCGGTGCCTCCGAGTGTCCATCTGGGACGGCGCTGCTGTTCATCGTCACTCCTGCAGCACCATAGCCAATGGTCGATAACCGACTCCTCTCATCCATCCACCACACAATGCTGTGCCTGCTGTGGCTGGCCGAACTCGCAATCAGACGATGCCGTCATCTTCTGTGTTGCCCTCACTGCTGGGTAAGGCCGATTTCATCCCAAAGTAGCCACGTTCAATCCATCGTCCCTCCAACTGCGAGCTTAGCGGGGAGAGGAAAGGCAAAGATCGGAAAGACGGAAAAAGCGGCGCTTTTCCAACTTATCTATCAGGCAGGATGCTTCGTGCAGTGAGACCACGGTCCCTCCCTTTCCCTCGCACTTCCCGCAACATCGCCTTCTCACGCAGCTCAGCGGCAGCAGCATGGAGATCAGCAGCAAACCACAGCATCCATGCGCCATCACATGCATGGCCACCATACGCAAGGGGCTTCGCGTCTGCATCTGTTCAGCAGCTGTCGTCTGATGAGATCCAGCGGCGCGTGGTGGACATAGCGACCAAGTACGCCAAGGCGGGCAGCACCATCACGCCGGAGGGCAAGCTGGAGGAGCTGGACGTCACTGAAGACAATGAAAACAGAAAATGGGACTGCCTCGATACCGTGGAGTTCCTACTCGATGTGAGTGAGTCGGGTTGAGTGAGCTGAGGGACCGCACTGTTTGCTTGTTGGGAGTCGTGCTGTTGTGTGTTGCAGGTGGAGAAGGAGTTCGGCATCACCATCCCTGACGAGATACAAGACAGCATCCAGACAGTCAAGGTGTGCAAAGACAAGACACACACAGGCGCACAGACGCCGTAGTGGCGAGACAGACCGGGACGGAGGCAGATTGTGGAGGAGATAGATGGATGCAATCAATCATCGGTTTGCTGCACTGCACATGTGTATCTGTGTCTCACACAGGAGACTGTGGTTCAAGTTGAGAAGCTGCAGAGTGCCGAGGCCAAGCCGGCAGCATCATGACACGACCATCAGCAGCACAGAGCAGCCAATACCCTCTCCTTGCTTCCATCCCCTTCCCTCCCTCTCTCCCCCCTGCGTCCTCGATTGTTTGCGTGTGCAGCTGCGATGCGATGCGAGTGTGCTATCCATACAAACCACCGAACGCATGTGCGTGGGGGTGGCTGTGCGTGACTGTGACATGAACGACTCTGCGTGACCGATTGTGAGTTTTTCCCAATCATCATTCGATTCACGTCTGTCTGAGGCATCAGCAAGCAACATCAAGCCAGCCTTATATAAGCGCGCTTCCTCCCCC